AGTAGAATGAACCACCAACTTTTCCAGCATATGTTTTATACAAAGGATGCCTTTCCAGCTACAACCCAGTACTGGAAACATCCATACACACTCATTTACACTCATACACTATAGCTAATGTAGTTTATTAAATTCCGGAGCACCCTGGAGTGTGCAGCATTTCTGATCTGGTGTGTGACCACCTTTAGAATCACTAAAGAATGTGGACAGGGTGAGATTAATGTGAAGCATGGACACTGATTACAAAAGAATCATATGTCATCATTACAACAAGATACTGTAAGTGGAAACTCACGGCTTGTGTTATGCAAAGTGAACTACTGCACAGTGTTGCAAATAAATAAATCACTGTAAACCACTACTGTATGTGTTAAAACTAGTTAGCTATGGCTCTGAACTAAAAGCAATTCGTTTAATTTCTAAATATATATTTTTGTACAAATAATTTTGCTTTTAAAAGACATTTTTTTGTTAAAATGTTATATAGAAACAACACAAAATGAATGCTCCATTGTTTTAGAATAAGAACGGTTTATGAAATTGCAGTCTGGCATCGCAATCTTATGGCAATTCGTAACTTTTTGATTTAGTGGTTAATTCTTATGAATTTGTACGATCTAATTCATATAATTTAGTACCATTTGCTCATCACCCAATGACGGTTGGGTTTAGGGGCAGGGTTGGGTGCCACGCCTCCTTTTTAAAACCGTAAATTTTTATATGACTGAACTCGTACAAATTTGTACGAATTAGCTACTAAACAAAATGTAAAATTCTTACGTTTTCTCGTGAGATCAGGCTGGAAGTCCCTAAAGATTTATCCCTGTAGATACAACAGGGACCCAGTTCCTTAAACACACACAAAAACGTCCGATTTTCATGATATATCCCGTTTAATCAGCTAATTCAAGCCTGATCGTGATCTATCTTTGGTCATGAACTCTACCATCCTGAACCAATACCAGTGTTTTTTCAAAGAAGTTATGGAAAATGATTGACTGATAGAGACGCAAGAAAGAGAGAAAGACAGCGAAGTGTAGATGAACTGTTCTGGTGGTCTGAGATATTGAGAAGTCTTGTGAAGTCAGCCTCCCCTTTGGGAAATTGCAAGGTGGTCTCGAGTCGTCCGTGATGTCATGAATCATGGACTTGGGCTGGAATATGTCATCCAATGGAGCCCCACGGTTAACGCATCGTCATATTTGTTATCATGAATCCTATCTGTCTTTGTTATAAGTGTCAGATTTCCAATAGCTTTAGCTGTGGGGCCAGTGATTGGTGTGAAAACATCCTAGAAAAGATTCTGCAAAGTCATTCTTGTGGTTAAAGGGCATTTTGAAAGATTTCTCACAATTTAACAACTTAGACTTGGAATGGATTTGATTCAGTGACCGAAAGAAATGGGAAATCTTTAGAATGATTGTGATTGGCTACAAAAACCTTTGTTTCATTGTCAAGAAAAGTATTATCAGTAAATTGAACTCAACATCAGATGCTGTGAAGCAATTTTCATATTCTTCATTTATTTTATTTAGTTTTTATTTATTATTTTTTAAATTAATTTTATATATATATTTATAAAATTATATATATATTTTTATATATATTATAATATATATATTTTTAATATTATATATATATATATATATTTTTTATATATATTTATTTAATTTAAATATATTTAATTTTAATTATTTTATTTTAATTTATTTCTTTTTTTATATTATATTATTTAAAAAAAATGTATTTAATTTTTATTTCATTTCATTTTATTTTATTTTATTTTATTTTCATTCATTCATTCATTTTCTTTTCGGCTTAGTCTCTTTATTAATCGGCACAGCGCAATGAGCCGCCAACTTATCCAGCATATTTTTATTGTCAAGAAAAATATTATCAGTAAATTTAAACTCAGCATCAGATGCTGTAAAGCTATTTTTCTATTCTTTATTTTATTTTTATTTATTTTGTTTTTATTTATTTTATTTTGTTTTTATATATTTTATTTATTTAATATTTAAAATTTATTTAATTTTAATTAATTTAATTTTTATTTATTTTATTTTAATTTAAATTTTATTTTATTTTTATTTATTTTATTTTAATTTACATTTTTAATTTTATTTTTATTTATTTTATTTTTATATTATTTTTTCATTCATTCATTCATTTTCTTTTCAGCTTAGTCTCTTTATTAATTCTGGGTCACCACGGCGCAATGAACCACTAACTTATCCAGCATTTGTTTTACACAGATGCCCTTCCAGCTGCAACCCATCACTGGGAAACATCCATAAACACTCATTCACACACATTCACTGCGGATAATTTAGCTTACCCAATTTACCTATTCAGCATATCTTTGGACTTGTGGGAGAGTTCCCGAAGGAAACTTCACACAGAAATGTCAACTGACCCAGCCGAGGCTTGAACCAGCGACCCTCTTGCTGTGAGGCGATTGTGCTACCCACTGCACCACTGTGCTGCCTTATTTTATTTTATATTATTTTATTTTATTTCATTTTAGTCAGTTCCTAGAAAAGACACTGGCTTATGGCTTAGTGAAGTGTCAGTGTGTTGAAACTCAACATCAGATGTCCTTGCATCAGAGCAGAAGATGTAATGGAAACTTGTGGAGGACTGTAGAAATGAATAGCAGACATTTCTCTTGCTGGAGCTCACCACTCAAAAGCAGAGGGCTGAGATGGTGGGCTCCAGACTGGAAGCCACAAGAGTCATTCATAGCCTGACTCAGAGCACTGCCCTGCAGGACTGGTGTCGCCGCGTCTTCTCCCGCTCCAGAACAAGCGTGTTTCTTGTTTGTTGCTTTTCGTGAAATTCGACTTGATTTCGAGGCCAGATACCAGACCCAGCCTTGATTTTTGGAGAAACCCAATCCACAGAGAGAACAATTCTTGCTGAATGGAGCATTAGTGTTTTGCATTATGTACAGTTGTTAAACTAACTGCTCTCTCCAGTTTGCAGAGATGATGTCAGTCATCTGTACCGTGAGAAAATTGCAAAGGCTGATCAACGTCTTCTTTTTCACATTTACATTACATTTAATCATTTGGCAGATGCTTATATGCAGTGCAACTTAAAATGAGAACAATAGAAGTAAAGAACTTTGCTCCGCTGCATTCTATAGACCTATGGAATAACGATTTCCAACAAAATACAGCCAAAACTTTTTGAGTTTGATTCAGAAGTTTGAAACAGCTCAATAAAGCCAACTTTTGGTGGAGGTACTTTGGCTTCTAAACACCTTTTTGTTACCATTAGTCCGTAACAATTACACAATCAGTGAATGTTTTGGAACTTTGCTATCTTCGATGTGCGGCTTGTTTGCCCTATTCATTTTAATTTGAAAACAACACTCAAAACAAAAACATTCGCCACATGAATACACTGAAGAGGCAAGTAGCAGAGCTGGTACAGATGTATCCTTCATGTATCAATTCATGTATCAATTTTCTTAGACACAGCGGACGAAAATCCCACCTTGTCGTGCCACATCTTTTCTATGAGTTTGAACTCACTGGCATGCCATGTGACATGTGGTGGCGCTTCTCATGAAAGAGGCTGTTGGGCAGATGATTATGAAACCATGCTTCCCTCTCAGCCACCATTGTTGATTAGGCATACATGCATGCAGTGTAATTCATTTACAACCCTGCCTACTCAGCCTTTTTGAACTTCTCCTTGAGCAACAAAGATCCAGGTTAAATTTCTTGATGCAGCAGCAGACTGTGTTTAGTGATAGAAGTTTTCAGAATCCTGTTTTTTATAATCCTGAACCAATGTGGCTACATTAAACACATTAAAAATATGCAATGCCATCTGAGTCCTCAAAGGTGCACATTCAGCTTATGTTTCCTGCCTCTCCCTTCATACACTAAGTTCCTTTCGCACAGGCATTGTATCCATAAAATTGGCAGAATTTCTTTTGTGAATTGTAGGGTTGTCAAAAATACTGACTTCAGTAACAATTGGCATTGACGTTTTGTAAACATCCATTTCTATCAATACTTTTATTTCAATACTTTTGTCAACCCTATTGCGAACATGGACATGTTCTGGGGTTGATTCCTGCATCATTCATGGGTTTTGAATCCTGTAACATGATATTCCCTATGTGAACAAAAGCCAGAACCAGTGCTGTAAGGTGCATGGCGCAGTGATGACAAACACATCCTCACAATGACATATTTACCATCCGACCATTTGACAGGGTGTTTTAAATACTGAAAACATGTAATTCTTGTAATACAAAGAGCACATTACTATGAGAAAAAGTCTTCAAACTGGACTGAAGCACATACCAGGGAGCTCCTTACTATCCAATCTAAAGCAGAACTGTACACAATGCCGAACTTAATTTAAGTGTCTTCTATTTTTATGAACAAAAACACAACCAGAGGTTGGTTAGAAGTACCATGGTGCAAATTAAAGAGCAGTCTAATGTGAGAAATGTCACTCTCTGTTTTCCATCAGTTGCTTAAACTTTTCCATCCCTACAATCTCTTTACTAATCAAACAGAGGTTTTTTTTTTTTCCTCTGGATTGAAAAAAAATGTGTGCACCTCTATGTACCGACTCCAGTCATCTTAGAAAACTGTATTTTCTTTGTCAATTTGTCTTGTCTGGAAACTGACATCCTCACCCATTCAAACGCTCAGTGTTGTAAAGAGTGTCGCTCAGTTAAGGCAAATGTCATACACTTACAGGATGCCTAGAAACACAAGAACACTTTTTACAAGATGTATGTGAACACAGATTCTGAAAAATCACTGAAGGTGTGAAAATCAAATCCCAAATTAAACTAACCTGGTATTTTACAGAATTTCTATGTGAAAGTAGCTTGAGATGTCTCTGAATTCCCTGAATCTCTTAACAATAACATATATGGTACTGTAGTTGGGGAAAGACCTGAATTGTTTGTGGTTTTGCATTGAAAACTGTGATTACTAATCAATGCTCTCTTTTTCCCACTATTTCAGAGGTAATGTCCAATCGGATGGAGGGTATGATGAACTCCTACACACCATTGGCTCCAGCCCAGCAGCAAATGGTTGCACTGGAGAACGGCTACAGCACCGACCCCTTCCAGCAGGGCCTCACCCCTCCTCAGATGCCCGGTGACCACATGAACCCATATGGTGAGCATCAACCATTGAGTTGTGTCATGTTAGAGTGTGTGTGTGTGTGTGTGTGTGTGTGTGTGTGTGTGTGTGTGTGTGTGTGTGTGTGTGTGTGTGTGTGTGTGTGTGTGTGTGTGTGTGTTTGGACCACAGGCTTCACTGAATGAAAGCGTACCACCCTTCTTTCCTCATGAGATTACACAAACGCACCACTTTATTTTGAAGTTTGCCTTCCAAATGAATCCAGCGTGTTTTAAAACCATACTGGCCACGTCCCACGTTCCCAGAGCTGCCCGTTGGGTTTATTCTCAGGGATTAATGGTGTAGTCTGTTATGCTGTGTGACACCATCTATTGGATGTTTCATAAAGAGCCGAACGATGATCTGCGGTGCACCATGTAACAACAACAATGGTTAACCATGATGGCTGACGCTCAGAGTATCATGGGAAAGCATCCACTGGTCTGCCAGCAAAACAACACAATGAGCTAAAACCATTGAGGGTTGGCCACATGTGAATTTGTCAACAGTTTTTTTTTTTTTTTTATTATTTGTAAAATGTACCTGATAACAATATAATTGTAGGATATATAATATGAATTAGTTTGTTTGTAATTAGAGACTTTTTAGGTTAACAATACACTACTGTGTGGAGTTGATATAAATACATACTATTCATTACTTAACCCATACTGTTGGGGATGTTTTCTTCCACTTTGGGCAAATTTATTGCCCTTTTGTTATGTTAGCGGTGTAAAAATGCACCAGATAAATATGCAGAAATGTATAACTCTGTTAATCAACCTCATTACTAATTAAAACTACTAAATTGTTTAGAAAATTACAGTATTCAAACTCTTTAATTGCGAAAATCATAAATTATTTCACTGATTTGGTGAAAAAACACATAAAATGACGTATTTTCAATATAAAAAGTAATTGTGGACTGTTTTTTTACCTTTTATCAAAGTCTTGGACATGTGAAACAATATTTTTTTGCATTGTTTTTGATTTATTTACATTTTTTTATCCCTAATTTACTGTTGGTGGCTGTTTTTGCCCCATTGAAGTTTTGAAGATTGAAGATTGAAGGTTTTCCCTGTTGGTAAGAGGTCAAATTTGTACAGTTGATCATCAATTGGCACCATTAACCCTTTAGATAGGCCTGTGCAAAAAAAAAGTAAAACTGCAAATTAAAGTGTGGATGTGTGTTTGTGATTATGTGATAGTGATGTTTACCAGGGTGTTTACAAAGACTTAAAAAAGTCTTAAAATGTCTTAAATTTAAAAATAAAAATTTGTCAAACCATTTTAAACGGGTCCTAATTTTTTGTGTGTCCAAGTAAAGCTACCCTATTAGGCTGATACCCAATCACCAATAATCAATCTTAAAACTTTTTTATTTATATTTACATTTTTTTCTTTTTTTTATTGGAAAAAGATACAATTCACAACAGCAGACATTTTTAAAGCAAAATCTTAAAATTAAATTCCCCAATCATAGAAAGAAAACTAAAGCAACACATCCCATTAGATGACCTTCCATTAACACAAAAAAACATTTACAGTTGTATCCGGTTCATTAGAAAAAAATCCTTGATGTTTACCCTTGTATAAGTCAAGAAATTTAATTCATATATATTGATCTTAAAAGGGTTTTAAAAAGTCCTAAATTTGACTTGGAAAAAACCTGCAAAAACCCTGTTGATGCACTTACTGTACCTTGATGTGTCTGAGAAAATCTAAATATGCATCTCAGCTCTTAGAACTACATGGAGTAAACAAAAACAATGACTATTTATGCACCATCAAATGTGGTTATAATGGAGGTCAATGAGGCAAAAACAGCCACCAACAGTAAATTAGGGAGAATTTTTTTAAAATCTATCTATATAATGTTGTTACTAATTGTTCACATGTCCAAGACTGACAATAGGTTTTTAAAAAATGCAGCCCACAATTACTTTTTATATTAAAAAATACATCATTTTGTGTTTCTTTCATCAAATCAGTGACATCATTTGTGATTTTGGCAATTAAAAAGTGAAAAATCCTGCAATTTTCTAAACAATTTAGTAGTTTTGATCAGGACTGAGGTTAATTGACAAATTTATGCCAAAATAAATTAAAATAAATTAATCTGATGCAGTTTTACAGCAGTTTAATTTAGTAGATGTTTTCATCCCGAACATAACAAAAGAGTAGTAAATTTGAACAGTCCACAAGAGTTAAAAAGATTTATAAGATAATATTTATATGAATAATTTTAATAAGTGTATTGAATTTTTTTAGAATTAATTTAATATGTATTTTATTGCATGTATAATTCATTTAATCATTATTTATTAATTGTATAAATTATGTAAATACACTATAATAAATTAAGTATAGTAATGCCTTTTTTTTAAATAATAATGAATTGTCAAAAAATGCCAAAACAAACTCCTAATTATTATTATTATTATCATTATTATTATTATTATTATTATTATTATTATTATTATAAACAGAAGATGTTACATTATTTGATATGCTTTTCTTTTCATTCTTTATTATTGTTCATAGTGTCCTTCAGTTATTTCACCCAGCACTAAGTATCAGGGGAAAGAATTCTCTGGTGTGCTTGCGAAAACAACTCGGCAAAGCAAAACCATTGAGAGTCACATGCACATTTGTCAAAACCGCCTCTAAAGTTTTAGTAAGAAGCGAACAATGATTCCTCCGAGTGCGGCTGTTTCTGCACAACTCCAATTGTTCTCAATATTATTGACATTAACTTCCAGCATTAGCCACATAAATCAGGAGACATCGGTCACAGGCAGCCTAAAAACAGCTCCCAAGTGTCTTGTCATTCATTCTCCTGAACGGCGAAGGCCCAAATCCCTGCTCTCATCATCACACTTTTATGGGAGAACAGCAGGGACAGACAACATTGCCAGCTCATTAAAAAAGCATAGCCCATCAACCTGTCACTGTCTGCTGGAATGGTGTCATTAAGAGCCGGAGAGCATTACTGCTAACTGTGCCCACAAGGAAGATGAGCGAGTCGAGTAAACATTCGCTATTAGATCGGTTGTTAGAGAGAAACCCTTTCCTTTAGTAATATCCGAATGCAATATGCGATTGGAATGTGGGATCTGTTATAAACGCACCACTGAACAGTGGGAAGTTTTTTGTTTGTTATGAGATAAGCGATTTTTGATGGACGGCTCTATGATGCTGTTAATCTGTTTGTTTATTTGTTTTGTAAAAATTTATTAAACTTCAGTCATATTATAGAAATTAACAGTATATTAAAATATAACAATTCTGATAATAATGTTTAATATTGATGATGATGAAGAGGATGATAATAATTTCATTCATTTTCTTTTCGGCTTAGTTCTTTTATTAATCCTGGGTCACCACAGCGGAATTAACCGCTAACTGATCCAGCACGTTTTTACGTAGCGTATGCCCTTCCAGCCGCAACCCATCTCTGGGAAACATCCACACACACTTATTCATACATACACTATGGACAATTTAGCCTACCCAATTCACCTGTACCGCATGTCTTTGGACTGTGGGAAACCGGAGCACCCGGAGGAAACCCACGCGAACACAGGGAGAACATGCAAACTCCACACAGAAACGCCAACTGAGCCAAGCCGAGCAGAGGTTCGAATAAGCGACCTTCTTGCTTTGAGGCAACAGCACTACCTACCGCGCCACTGCGTCACTGAGGATATTAATAGTGTTAAAATAGTGTTTATAGTAGTTGCAGTAATAGTAGTAGTAGTAGTAGTAGTAGTAGAAGCAGTAGTAGCAGTAGTACTATTAGTAGCAGCGGTATTAGTAGTAGTAGTAGTAGCAGTAGTAACAGTAGTAGTAGCAGTAGTAGTAGCAGTAATAGTAGTAGTAGTAGTAGTAGTAGTAGCAGCAGTAGTAGTAGCAGCGGTATTAGTAGTAGTAGTAGTAGCAGTAGTAGTAGCAGTAGTAGCAGCAGTAGTAGCAGTAGTAGTAATAGTAGTATTAGTTGTATCATCTATCTGTCTTCTTTTCTTTTTTCTTTTTTTTCTTTTTACATTGACAATTTACTTATTTTTGCAACAAAACAAAAAAAAAAAAAAAAAACACATTCAGTACCTTTATGAATTTTAATTGGAGCACAGTTATAAGCTTACAAAAAAGATATTTTAGGGTGACGACTTTAAAAATATGACGACATGCAAAGCTTCCTCATAGACAATTCATCTTATGAACACTTTATGATAGTAATTGTGATACAAACATTTACTTTTTATACACATATACACTTATTTATTTAACAACATACTTTACATGCCAGTTTGCACATAACAGCTGCACACATATTGTTGTATATACTTGTACAAGCACATGTCAGTTTGCATATTTGCATTCACTATTTACTTCTATTTTTAAGTTATTTTTATTATCAGTTCTTTGTCCTGTCTCTATAATGCTGTTGCACTGTTGAAGCTCTGTCACGAAAACAAATTCCTCGTATATGCAAACATACGGTACCTGGCAATAAAGCTCATTCTTATTCTGAATCAGATTCTAATTGAGAAATATCATATATGTGGGCTAATTGCTCATCTTTTTGCACAAAAACACTCATGAATGAAATAACTATTGCCTAGTAATTCAAACTAAATTATAAGATTTACTTAAAAATAGTTCATATTTTTTAGATGATGAGTTCATAAAATATGACAACCGATGTTCAAAGCTTAATATTTAAATCTCAATATTATCTTCAAATGTAAATATCAGATATGTAGCCTAATTACTCATCTCTCTTCACAAAAACACATTCAGTACTCTTATGAATAAAATAAATAATAATGTCTAGTGATACAAACTAAGTGAAGTTTATTTATAAACTAATTTCCAGAGAATTACGTGCTTATGATTGACCACAGCTGGTCCAGCATTAGCTAACACATTATTCATCAATTAAATGATAGTTAACTCACCATAAATAACCAGAGTTTCTTACCTCAGTTATAATTGCCTTGAAGAACACCCCACCCCCCAATCCAGCCCTCCTCCTACTCCTTTTTTTTCTTGATAGGGCGGCACGGTGGCCCATTGGTTAACACTTAACTAAATCCTTACCAGGCCAGTGGACGTTTCTGTGCAGGGTGTACTTGTTCTCTCTGTGCTCTCCTGTGGATTTCCCCAGGGTTTCTTGGTTTCCTCCAACAATCTAAAGACATGGGACATAAGTGAACTGTCCAAACTAAATTGGACCATAGATGAGCTCTTAATCAGCAGTAATTCTCTCTATAGCAATCCCTAATTTGTCATTAGTCATAAATAAGCAGGGGAGATCTCGAGATCTACCTGAGCTCAAACTCCCCTCTCATCCTGCAAATGGGAGGGAGCCCCAGGCTCAAGGATCTTATGAGCTCAGGGCTCTCTCCCAGGACAACATGCCAAACAAGCTTTATAATCAACCATCAGCTAAGTGTGAACTCTTGAAATTCTAAACCTTTTTACAAAAACGTTTATATTTCTGGTGATGACTTCATTAAATATGATCACAAACATTTTTAAGCCTAATTCTAAAATCTAAATAGTAGCTTCAAATATCTTAAATCTTATTCTAGTAGCTATACAACTCTGGTTGTTCCAGTAATAATCCACATTTCTCTTGTCTCTTCCCTCAGGAAATGACTCGATATTCCACGACATTGACAGCGACACTTCTCTGACCAGCCTCAGTGACTGCTTTATGGCCTCGTCTGACGCGGGATCCATGCAGGCCCGAGTGGGAAACCCCATCGACCGACTCTACTCCATGCAGAGCTCCTATTTCGCCTCATGAAAGCACACTCGCTGCAGCTCACACCAGTCACTCGCCGCCTATCAAGGGAACACGCGCTCGCTCGACAAAAAAGACGAGACACCAGAAACAAGACAAGTGAACTTCCCTACCCTACAATGGACGTCCAGAAGCTGACATTTCTTCCTTTTCTAGTTACATGTAGATCGTTTGTACATGACTTTCTGAGAAGTAGCATTTCACTTAATCCTCATGGACTTGTGGAGAGGGAGAAAAAACACACTAAAAGGGTATCGGTGTACAGTTTGATGTAACTGAAGCATCAAGACTCGTGACTTTCCAGAAGATCAACACATAAAGCTCATAATGCATGAATCCATATCTTTGTGATTGTTACGTTTAAAAGAAGAAAAAAATAGATTAGAAAAAAAATCTTGTGTTGTTCAGATGTTGAAATGTGATGTTCGGACTCATAATTTGCTCTTTTCGTTATGTTCAGCATTGCATTTTTTTCCTCACTTTAATAGTTTAGCCCTTCTGAAAGACGATGTAGAAAAAGCTTAGAGGGGGAGATTATGTATAGTGTATCTGCATTTAAGTATGTATGTGTGTATGTGAGAATGAGTGTGTGATGGAAAGGTACTGTCATTGAAAGCTCGATCCATGTGTATATATACTTTTCCCAAGCGAATCAGTTGTGCATGTTAAAAATGGAGATCATTCTATTTATTTAACTAAAACATGCTTTTTGAAGGTACTTGCGAAACTGAAAAGCTTTATTTAAAAAAGGAGAAAACCATCTTTAAGTCATTTCACAACACATTTGTGTGTCTTTAAATTAGGAAATACATTGTATCTTTATTCCAGCAATGTACATCTGTGGAAAGTGGAAGAAAAAAGTGCTATTTATTTGTTTCAGCCCATGACATTGCCGAAAAAAAAATGCATTCCCAAATGAGAAGATTGCTAATTTGCCAAAGTCTGTTGGTACAATGAATAAAGTCTGTTTCTCCTTGATTTTTTAGCTTCCACAAGAGTAATTGGACTACTTATTTACATTTTTTTTTAGAATTTTTTTTTTGAAAACTTTCTAATTTTTTTTCCTTGAACATGATATGTTGAACACATGATCATCATTCTAAATCACCTCAAATTTAAAATATATATTATATTTTTTATAAATATTTTATAAAGTATATTTACATTTCTTTACATACAATAATAATAACCTTACTTTTATATAGCGCTTCTCTGGAAACATTTTACATTTTTGGGGGGGAATTTTCTCATCCACCACCAGTGTGCAGCATCCACCTGGATGACACAACAGCAGCCATATTGCACCAGACCTCACACCACACACCAGCAGATTAGTGGAAAGGAGACAGAGGGATGGAGTCAATTATGATATGGGAATGGATTAGCTCTCTGCATCTCTCACATGGTCACCAAGTGAAGCTAAGGGCCAACTCACACTATACTATCCGAACCGTGCCCAGGCCCATTTTCCAGATTGTTTGAGAAGTGTGAGTGCTCTGAATTGGCCTCAGGCAAGCTTCACTTGGCCGGCCCTGGCCCAGTTGAAAAAGGTGTGCCAGAGCGCGGTTCACTTGGTTGTAGTGTGAGTGCAAAGTGCGCCAGAGCCCAAAACTGAAGACGAGACATGACTTTTAAGGGACTGTTTGATATGGATTTATTAATCATTCTTAATGTTCAATGAACGCAAACTGTCGTAGATTATTGAAGATGCAAACCCCTTTACTGCACGGCAGCTGCACCTTCAGCAAACCTCCTAATTCCTGCAGCAAGAGGACTTTATGATTGCTTATGAGCGTCAAAACTGGCTGATCTGTTCGGCGAAATATTTAACTGCGTGTCATTTCATCTCAAGCAACTAAACTGATATAACTAAATAAATATCCACTATGCTGAGCAAAAGTGCTTACTGTACAGCACAGTTTTGTTTTGAAATTTGTGAGACGAAAGTTGTCCAATAATAAACCCGAAACACATGTGATTGTTGTCATGCGGTGAACTCAGGCCAATCGTGTAATATCGGTGTCGTCATCTCAGCTCCTGCTGTCGCTCTTCAGATGCTACATCGGCTGAAAAAAGCTACGGTCACACTAGAGTTTGTGTGTGCGAAATTCTGTCCTGAGGCGCTGCAAAAACGGGCAAGTGGTGCTCGCTGCAGAGCCATTTGGGCAAGCTGAGCTCCAGCGAGGGGGAGCTTGAGCTTAAGCTCCACCTTTTTTGCACTTCTTCTACGAGTGATGTCACTGGTGGTAGGGTTAGGGGTGGGGTTGGTGTACGCATTAAAACAGCTTACAGGAGGAGGAGCGAGAGCTCATGCTCCCCCTCGCTGGAGCTCAGCTCTGCTCAAATGGCTCTGCAGCGAGCACCCTCTCAAAACGGGCGGGATTAAACAAGCTTATTAGACATTTTTAAAAGCGAGCGATGGCTCAATGTTTTAAATTTCTGTGCAGAGAGGTCTTGTTTTGATCCTCGGTTGGTCTCACGAAGGTCGGGAGCCCAGTCTCACGAAGGTCGGGAGCGCAGTGATGTGAACGCAGCATAAAAATATTCACTAGCAAAACATTTTATTTATCACATAATAATTCCTTAAATAAATTTATGATCAGTTAAAACAAATTATGGTGTGTAAACCTTAAGTTACAACATACAATAAAACTTATTAAACAATAAAATATTACAAAAATGTTTTAAAAATGTTACTATATTGCATGGTACTGTGCCAGATTGGTTGGTGGTTCATTCCGCTGTGTCGACCCCTGATAAATCAGGAAGTAAGCCGAAGGACAACTGATAAATAAATATTTCTTTTTAAAATATATATAGATGTTAAATATTGCTAACAGAGTAAAATGTTGCACATAATTTTTAATGTATAATCCTATAATGACATGTATTCCTATTTATATTTTAACAATTATATAATGTATTTGTTGAGCAGTAACCATTAATAAACAAGTTATTTGATGAATGAAAACATCTATTCATGAATATCTTGGTCAAAACACAAAGCTCAAAGCATAATTACGAAAACAATATACAGCTAAAATATTAATAACACTCAGACTAAACAAAAAAAAAGCATATTGCTGCACAAATTTCAATGCATATTCCATCTGTCATACACAGCTAATTATGAGCCCTGGGTGGATGTTTTCTATAAAGTCAATATGATCACCAGAGGATATTTTCTGTCTGCTTACAACAATGGGGTTTGAGTTACTGGAGATGAGAACAAAGCATTGCCATCCAGAGTCACATATGCTTTGTTGTGCCACACGATCTCAATTCACATGCACCACACACTGCGCTCATGAATGGGAGTTAGCCTACCAAGCAGGAACCTTGATGTCAAAATAAAAGGGAAATTTATTTGATGCCATTTGACTAAAACAAGGTGACGTCCATTTAACGTCAAAGTGTAACAAAGTGTCTCTTGTATACTGTATGTATATGTATGTGTATATATATATATATATATATATATATATATATATATATATATATATATATATATATATATATATATATATATACAGGAGACACTTTATTAAACTTTGACTTTGAATAGACGTCACATTATGACTTTTAGATGACATTGTACTTGGGTTGTTTAATTTCAAAACCTAAAACCAAGCTAAGATTAATGTCTACTCATTTTAGACTTTGACGTTGTATGGGCGTCACATTATGACGTTTAGATGACATTGTACTTTGGTTAGTTAATGCCACAACCTAAAACCAACAAAAGATCAACGTCTATTGATGTTACACTTTGATGTTGTATAGACGTCACATTATGATGTTAAGATAACGTTATACATTGGTTGGTTATTTCCACAACCTATTGCAGGTGGGATTCGACTTTTCCTATTCACTTACAGGAGCCGATTCATAGAATCGAGCAGACTCAACCACAAACAACACCATCACCAGGCAACGCCCCCAATAAACGATTTTCACTTCCATAAAAATCCAACGTCTGCCTGTTGTTGGACATTGTCGTTTGTCTAACGTTGGGTTCTGACATCAACCCGATTTTCATTTCCAACTAACGTCTGCCTGACATTGGACATTGATATCTCTCAGACGTTGGGTATTGACGTCTGTCAGACGTTGGTTCTGTTTGACGTTGAGTTCTGACATCAACCCAATTTTCTTTTCCAACCAAAATCCAACGTCTGCCTAACGTTGGACATAGACATCTGTCTGGCGTTGGGTTCTGACGTCAACTCGATTTTCATTTTCAACTAAAATCCAACGCCTGCCTAAAGTTGGACATTGACGTCTATCTTACATTGGGTTTTGAAGTCAACTCGACTTTCATTTCCAACCAAATCCAATGTCTGCCTGACGTTGGACATTGCCGTCTCTCAGAAGTTGGGTTTTGACGTCAACCCGATTTTCATTTCCAACCAAAATCCAACGTCTGCTTGACGTTGGGTTTTGTCGTCAACCCGATTTTAATTTCCAACCAAAATCCAACGTCTGCCTGACATTGGACATTGATGTCTCTCAGACGTTAGACATTGACGTCTGCCTGACGTTGGGTTCCGACGCCAACCCGATTTTCATTTCCAACCAAAATCCAACGTCTGCCTGACATTGGACATTGACGTTTCTCTGACATTGGACATTGACGTCTGTCAGACATTGGGTTCTGACGTCAACCCGATTTTTGTTTCCAACCAAAATCCAACATCTGCTCTCCCAAGCCCAAACTTCTCGTCGAGAAGATGGTGTCAATTGCGTTCAGAGACCAGTTGATCAAATCCATAATTCCTTATTTGTTTGGATAGCAGGGCATGGAGAGCCTCAGAGATTGAATAAAATGAGAAAAGAGAAGCCAGTCAAGAGAGATATGGGGCGGAGAGGAAAAAAGTGCTACCGCCTTCACCGAGACCCAAAGAAGAACTCAAAAAATTCTAAAATGAATTATATCTAACTAAATGGCACAGGTGATTGGTTGCCAATAAGCTTGTTCCTCAACATTTAAATACCTCAGTGTTGTAGCAATCTACACTAAAAAATCCTGGTTGCCTAAAATTTTTAATTTGAATAAAGTTAACTTATGTTTAACTAACTTAAACAGCTTGGGGAGACAACACGGGGAAAACATGTAAACTCCACATAGAAATTCCAACTGACCCAGCCGGGACTCCAACCAACGTTTTGCTGTGACATGACAGTGCTATCCTAACTTCTCTCATCTAAAAAAGGCAACTGCAACATGAAGATGAAGAAGTGCAGGATGTTGGCAAACAACATTTAGATTTTATCACAGATCTGAAGAGGGGGGGGGGGACATGTTGGGGCATCTGATTGGTCAGAAGATTTGATGAGAAACTGAGTATGGTGTGATGCCAAAAATTTAGATGGAAGTGACAAATGGCAAGTTTGGATGTTTATACCTTCTTCATGCAAATTTTGCCATTGTTTTGGAGCACACTAGCTTACAGATATCCTTAAGACTAACGTAGTCATACTAACATCTTTTTTGTTTTGTTAATAATATAAAGCCTTCTTTGTTCATAATTACAAAAGGTGCCAAA